TCCTCCCTCCCACCCATTACCACCCCCCCCCTGCCCCCCCCCCCCCCCCCCTGCCCACACCCCCGCAGATCTATTGTGACGAGACGCCCTTTGAGGCCACCCCAACCGACTACCGCTGCCCGCAGTGCAACGCGCCCAAGCGCCGCTTCGCCCGCTTCAACGTGGAGACGGGCAAGGTGGGTTGGGTGGGGCCTGGTGTGTGCTGGCGCCGGTGTTGGGGTGTTGGGTGGCGCCAGTTGGGAGGGAGGGGGCGCTGTGCTCTGTGTGCGGCGCGGCGTGGCCCTCGTGCTGACCTGCGGCGGTGCGTCTGCAAAGGGTCCGCGGCTGCCTGGCCCCGTGAGAGGCGGCTGCGGGGACGGCGAGCGATAGGTGTGTTTGGGAGTGAGCGAGTAGGCGGCGGGCGTGCTGTGCTGCCTGCCTGTCTGCAGATCCAGAGCGGCGACACGACAGACATCGGCACCATTGCCACCGTGGTGGGCGGCCTGGTGGGCGTGGCCATCCTGGGCTACCTGGGCCTCAGCGTGAGTTGGGTGCAAGAGTGTGTGTGTGTGTGTGTGTGCAAGAGAGAGAGAGAGAGATGCTGGGCTGGGCTGGGCTGGGCTGGGCTGGGCTGGGCTGGTGTGGGCGCTGGGCGAGGATGTGGCGGGCGCAGGGCCCGGGAGGAAGAGGGCTGCCCGGCACCGCCGCTTGCCCGTAGTCTCGCTGCTGCTGCGGTGGTGCACCTGCCTCCTGCTGCTGCTGACGCGCTCCTGCCGCTTCCCTGCCCCTACCGGTGCAGCTCTGAGCGCGGCACATGGCAGCGCAGCTCTGAGCGCGGCGCGTGGCACCGCTCTCGCGGCGCGAGCGGCTGCCCCTGGTCAACACCTCAGCCTTTCATCCATTCTTTCTTGCTCGAGAAGAGACACCCCCCAGCATTTTGGGTTCATGTTTTCATTGTTTTTTAAGTTTTGCGCACCGCAACTCGCCAACATTCTGATCACACTGCAATGCCAAGACAGTCAGCTGTGGTGTGCACGCACAGAGGCGCGGTGTGGGGCGGCCTTCTTCTGTCACACAGGCTGCCCGCCGGCATGGGCCGTTGTCACACCTGTTCTGCAGCTATCTGCCTGACATGTGGTCTTGGGGAGTTTCAGGGGTGGGGCTGTTGGGATGTGTGTGGTTGGTTGCCCAGGACATGAGTGGACACTCGAGTGATGAGGTCGGCACAGGTAGCAGTGGATCAAGAGCAGTGCTGAAAAGGTGGTGGATGGGCAAAGGAGCATGCAGGGTGGGGGCAAGAGGGTAGGGTTGAGACACGCACACAACTGCGTTGGCTTGCAGCAACTGGAGTGAACAGTCGGGTAGCGGAGGAGGGATGGAGGGAGACAAGGGACAGCGGCACCACGCATCATGCGCCGTCCAAGAGGGAGAGAAAATCGA